CCCCGGTGCGCGGTCTGACGGCACCGCCGTGTCCCCGCAGACCGCCACGCTGCGCCCGTACCTGAACGCGGTGCGCGCCACGCTGCAGGCTGCGCTGTGCCTGGAGAACTTCTCCTCGCAAGTGGTGGAGCGGCACAACAAGCCCGAGGTGGAAGTCAGGTAGGGGGAGGGGGATACCGGGGGAGCCCTGCGGAGCCCCCGCTGCCCGCCCCGGGGGACGCGGGCCGGTCTCTGCCCTGCTCCGGGCACCCCCTGGCCCTCGGGCACAGCGCTGGTGCCGGCAGGGAGCCGGGGAGCTGCGGGAAGGAGGAGGGGATCCAGCTTGGGGACGAGGGAGGGACGTCCTGGGGGGGCGGGAAGCATCCTGCAGCAACCCCCCCATCTCTGTGATCCCCGCGGCTCCGCTTCCCTGTACCTCGCAGTGAATACTGCCTTCTGAGTCACCCCTGCCCTTCCTCTGCAGGAGCAGCAAAGAGCTGCTGTTGCAGCCGGTGATCATCAGCAGGAACGAGAAGGAGAAGGTACTCATCGAGGGCTCCATCAACTCCGTGCGTGTCAGCATCGCTGTGAAGCAGGTGAGGGGGCGTGGGCAGGGGCTGGCAGCTCCTGCCTCAGAGGAAGCCTTACTTCCCTTTTCTCTCCCCAGGCCGACGAGATCGAGAAGATCTTGTGCCACAAATTCATGCGCTTCATGATGATGAGGGCTGAAAACTTCTTCATCCTGCGCAGGAAGCCCGTGGAGGTGAGGGGGCAGAGAGGGGGCAGAGCAGCCCCCAGCTCTGCTCCTGGCACTGGGAGGGTGTCCAGGGCAGAACTGGGATGTGAGGTTGCATGTCAGTGACTTGGGTGCTGATCCCCGGTGCACTTCTCTCTTTCCCAGGGCTACGACATCAGCTTCTTGATCACAAACTTCCACACGGAGCAGATGTACAAGCACAAGTTGGTGGACTTTGTCATCCACTTCATGGAGGAGATCGACAAGGAAATCAGCGAGATGAAGCTCTCTGTCAATGCCAGGGCCCGCATTGTGGCAGAGGAGTTCCTCAAGAATGTGAGGCTCTGGAATGGGAGGGGGCGGGTCCCTGATTTTGGGAGTGGGGTGTGGCACTCAAAGCCACTGTGGCCCTTGTGCCCAGAGCCCCCCTGTCACCTCAGTGGGGACAGCGGTGACATTCTACCCAAGGACCGTCTTGGGAACAGGGAGGGGAGGGTGCCAAGGGTACTCGTACCTCCTTTCAGAGAATGACACAATTTCTCAGTTGGAAGGGGCCCACAGGGATCAGCCAGTCCAACCCTTACCCTGCACAGGACACCGCAACAATCCCACCATGTGTCTGAGAGTGTTGTCCAAACACTTCTTGGACTTTGTCAGGCTTGGTGCTCACGAAGTGCCAGTTTTGAGACCCCCAGAGTGTGCTCAGGGGCAACAGCAGCCTTGGGGTCTCAGGTCCTTTCGGTGGATGCTGTGATGGATGTGCAGTGCCTGGGGGAGGCAGCGGGAGAAGCTGAGTGTGGATCTCTGTGAGCACCACGCGGGTGCCAGGAGGGTGGTGAGTGCCCCAGGCAGGGACTGACAGCTGTGTGTCTTCTCTCCT